TAACTTTACAAGTTAAAATTTGTTAATGTTACATATATATTATTAATTGGGGTTGGGACTAGAGTCTAGGATTAAAAAACTTATATGAATTTGGAGGAAATAAAATTAGCCAGCTAAAGGCGGTAGAACGGAAAATGGTGACGGGGAATAGGGTAACTTGGGCTGAAAGTTGGAAGGTTGCAACGATTGGGGTTGAGAGTTCTTAAATATAATTTGGATATACTGGAAAAGACCGAAGTTCTCGGGCTTTGTAGAGAAAACAGAGATATTTTAGTTTTTAAAATTTTTATAATGATCTGGCTAAAAAACATTGTCGTTTTGGCTAGGTCTTTTAAAACAAAAATTAAAAACATCTTCTTGTTCTTTGTTATAAGCATTGTTGCCTGCACATCCATGGAGGCAACAAACCTCTCCACTGGACATGCCCAAATTGTTGGAGGGTCCCGAAGGTCGATCACAAGTGTTTCTTCGAGCTTATGAAGGATCCCGGGACCCCCCAGGTCCCTATATGGATCCACCAGTGCCCACATCCCCTTAATTAGATAATATTGTTTGTTCAAAAACAAAAATTCACATTCATGTAAATATGTATTAATATTAATGGAGCTTTAATGAAAAGGGCTTGAGCCAACAAATATTTAACCAAAAACCATCCAAAAATGTTATTTAATCAAAAGAGCTCAAGGTTTAATAAAAAAAATCATCCAAAACTATTGTCCATGGGTCAAACTTACAAGCCCAACCCACTACAAATCTACACTTCCGTAAGTATCCCTAAATGATTTGATATTATCTTGACTCTTCACCAACCTTAACCCAGCACAAAACCGCCATAAGAACTCCATGTCTTCCTATCAGATCGAATTCCCCCCATTTCAAAAACAACCAAATCAAAGTTGAAAATTGAAGCATTCATCGGAACAAAGCCGCCGTAACAAGTTCAAAGAAGTTTAATGGCAGAAACCAGCCAAAAAGTGTCTGGAAAAAAAAAAATCCAAAACATAAAATTGTTTTTGGATAACTCAAAACATAACACTATTTCTGGAAAAAAAAAATCAGATACAGTGTTTGTTACAAACACTGTATTTTGAAAGAAAACAACCAAAATCCAGAAACAGTGACTTACATTCCAAAAACAATGACTTAAATTACAGAAACAATGACTTAGATTACAGAAACAGTGACTTAGTTCCAGAAACAGTCTATATTTTAACCTTTGACTGTTTCTTTTCTTTCATGCATCAGTTGATTATATTTAAGAAAAATGGTGCTTATTTTGCTTTGAATCCAAATATAGTGAATTTCAAGTATTTCTTTTCTAACTTACATTTAAGAAACAGTGTGTCTATTTCACTTGGATCCAGAAACAGTGACCTAGATTCCAGAAACAGTAACTTAAATTCTAGAAAGTATAACTTAAAATCCAGAAACAGTTTATTTTTACAGTCCAAAAACAGTGACATGTCGTTATTATTGAATAACATGCAGATCTCAAATTTATTTTCTGGAGAAACAAACGATGAACTCCACTGATGATGAAAATTAAAAAAAGTATGTCGAATACACTATGAATAATAAGATCACATTTCAACGAAATAATAAAAAATATAAATTAAATAGCATGAGGATCTATATTTGTGTTTCAAAGAAAAAGAAGAAGGTTTGCAAAACAACGATGAACTCCATTAACGATGAAAATCTGGAACTCAACCTAAAAAAGTTAGGAATAAAATCGACAAATCATAATTTATTATAGTTGGATCATTTTTAGTTGGACTACTTTAATATGGACCTTGTACCAATCATTAAACAAAACTTATAACATGGTTTTTTTTATTAAAACTAAATTTTTTCAAGCCATTTTCATTAGTTTTCCTTAATATTAAACACTAAATTTTAAGGGTTTCCATCCACTCGGACCACTCGTACTATACATGAGACTGGTTATAACACATGATATTACCCCACAAATTAAGGGTCATCTTCATTCACCCAATCACTCATATTATTACACGTAATTGGTCACAATAATCATATTTCAGTACCATATACAAAATTTTGTTCGTCATGATTTTGAGTGCATTTGAAGCTTAACCCTATAAAGAAGAGGGCTTATTTTGGTTTCTAAGGTTGGTGTTATTACAATGAAGAAAGTGGATCGCCAAACCAATCATTGGAAATTTGAGGTTTTATCTTCCTATTAAGATGTTACAATTGAACGTAATTTCAAAAGTATTATGACTTGTATATACGTGGCTCATGGATCTTGCTTAAAGTTGGTTTAAAGTAGAAAGAAGCTCTATGTATCTTTATGCTGATGGGGAATGTAAAAAGCAGTTTTCCCTTTGAATCTAAGTTGGCTTTTTCCTTGCAATAAGGAAACAGGGAAGAAGAATAAAGATCCAAAATTTTTTATTTATTTTAATATATGGTGTTTTTAGTGGCTGAGTTAAATTTTTTTAAATAAAAGATCATAATATCAACAAAAAAAAATTTATTAGATCATTTCGTCGAGCACCTAGTAAGCATTGCCAATTATTGCTAACATATGTCGACAACTACTATTATTTGCAGAGGCTCATCAAGGGTGGATGCATAGTATAGTGGAATAATGTAGAAGACTATCAAGGCTTATCAACAAAGGTATTTATCGAGCTCATGATGCGCATAATAGAGTCGCAACATAAGAAGAGAGAAAAAAGAAAGATAAATATGATAGAAGAAGTAGAACAAATATGTTGTAATTTAGCTTGCTTTAACTGTTTATAAGGACCAAATACAATATACAAACAAATATACATGAAGTTTTTGAAGTTAATGAGATCAATGACAACAAATGACTACATGCTGGTGCCGTCACTATGATCACATATTAATTTTTCTTTTATTCAGCTTCGGTTTCATATAAAGGGACATCGTACTTTTAGTCTGTGGGGTGATTTGGGAGTGAGGTGCTTAAAAAAAAGAACCCATGAAAAAAAGCTGTGAGGGTTTTAGGTGTTTGGTAAACTGAAAAAAAATGGCTTATTTTGGAAGCTACTGTTAGAATAAGCTAAAATCAAATGAAAAAGCTGAAACTGCTATTTGCAGCTTTGGAAAACTGGCTTTTTTTTCAAAGCACACAGAGCTACAGTGCTCCTTTAATGAAAAAACCCACTATCAGACTGCTTTTTTTTTTTTCCAAAAGCACTTTTACAAAAAAGTTTACCAAACACTCTGCTGATTTATTTCACAGCCGCTTATTCTCACAGCAGTTTTTTTTCAAAGCATATCAATACCAAACCAGCCATGTATCTCAAAGCAGAGATGCATGTATTCATAAGACTTCAAACCCGTATTGGGATAAATATTGATTTTAATTGATGAGGAATAATTTAAGAAAAAATGGTTTGAATTTTGGTGTCCAAAATATTTGACCAAAAATAAAAATAAAATAAGAATGTTACCCCAATCGTCGGTGATGCACTATTAAGCAGTGTCAGTGGAGTAGTGATGGGGATGCTTTGTTGCCTTGCCATTAAAAAAATTGAGTCCCGCATGTGACCTTTGCCACCTTCCTCATTTGAATCCGTATCACAACCACCGACGCTTATCCAACTTAAATATATTATGGATGAATGATTTTATATTTTAAAAAGAAATTATAATCTTTTCGAATTTTTGTATTTTGAATTTGAAATGTTTTTTTATTTGTGTTTCGTAATTTTAAAAGAGTGATGTTATTCACACCTCAATGTCTTATCTTACCACATACCTTTAAATGAGCTTTTTAATTACAAATTTGTCCATTTATAAAAAGACTGATAATGACATTAATTATCTTATTTTGCTTAATTTAAAAATATAAAAAAAGGTTGGGTATGTGAGATGATTTGTCTACCTTAAATCCTAACACATATTTCATCTCCTTTCATTTAGATAAAGTACAAAAATAACAATTGACTTAGAAGATGATTTTTTCATTGAACATGTGGAAGATGAAGCTTATACGAAAGAGGTAGAAGATTATGTTTTCATTGAAAATGTAGAAAAATAATTTGCGTGTAGGCTATTTGAATTTGTCCATCGTATATTTAAATTTGTCGTTGTCGAATTCTTTCGCAAACCTTAGTGTTTTTCATTTACATGTTATTTGTTATATTTTCTAAGAGACAATTTATAATTTCATATGTAATAGTGGGTGGGAAAATAACATTTTAATTTTTTTAACTTTTTAAGGTGGGTGAGATTATAACGTGAGTGAGAAAATAAGACAATGGGGTGAGTCTAGTAGCTCTCTTTTTAAAATTTTAAGTAGCTTCAAAGCTTTTGATAAAAAGAAACGTCCGTTGCCAAAATCCGCAACTTGGTTACGTAGCACAACGGTTGTTATGATTGGACAAAGCATAAAGAAAAAATGAAGTGATTGTGTGTGCATATTTTTGTGGTAATGAATGATCATTTACTAGTCATGTGAGGAAATGTCGTGCAAGGAAAAATAATATAGCGATTACAGACTTTACAGTCAATACATGAAAGTCTACTATCACTTATAGTTGAATCAAAATCTAATTATCAATGTCAAGTGAAAAAAAATCAAGGAAATTCTTGAGACTGAATCAAGTTTCAATGCTAACTTGCCAACCGTCAAAATTAATCCAACCATCGTGAGTCGATGTCCTAAGCTTGAGTCCATAAACTCTAATAATTGCCTTTTGAAAACTAATCATCTGTCGTTGCTCTATGTACTTTCTTACCTATGTCATTGCATCTTGGTCACCGACTTATTCTTCAAAATTAATTACTAAACCTTAAATGTTGATTATTCCTTAAACTAGAAAACAAAGTAGAATGCAAAGTAAAGAGTACAACTTCTCTAGAGGGTGTAAGTGTAACTATCATATAGGATTTAATCATATAACAAAATAATGTTGAGGAAAATAGTTTGAAACTGGAAATCTTATGTTATAAGTACGCACGTTGTGGAAGTTGACTGAAAAATGAACAAAATCTGAATCTGATTGGGAAGTGAGACCTTACCGTAAAAACGCGTGGGGCAGCGCTGCACGTGAATCCTCCTCCCCCCGCTGAGAGAGAGAAAAGAAAACCTAAATTCCAATCTCAGACAAACGCAAAGAGGGCGCAGAGCCATCTTCTCCTTCTCCTCCCCCTTCTCCTCTGCAACTCTCTCTCTCTCTCTCTCTCTCTCTCTCCCCTCTGAAACGACAGACAACCACGAGCTCTCTCTCTTCTTTCGCTCTCTGAAAGTTCTGACAGGGACAATGACGGCTGTCTCCGCTGACGTCGCCAAGCTAACGAAGCGTGAGGTGCCTACACTCGCATCCCCCCTCTCTCTCTCTCGCTCTTCTTAACCATTTCATCTTCTTCTCCGTGAATGAATGAATGTCATGTTTTCATTCGCTGCTTTTAGGGTTTTTCAGAGGTTTGCATTTTCTCTATTTTCCGTTCGCATTTTACTTTTTATCCTGTTTGGCTTGCCAGAAAATGAAATTCGAAAAATACCCAACATTCAATTTTCTTCTAATTTTTTAAAATTTTTAAAATTTTTAAAACTAAGTATTCATGGAATTTGTTGTACTGCTGCTGCAGTTGTGCAATTGGCATGCAGTGCGAATTAGTGTTTGGTTTTCTTAAGCATTTTTTTATTTTCCCAGCATTTTCTCGGAAGCCAAACAGTGTACTTGGGGAATTGGGATTGCGAGCGTGTGCAGTTATAAGATTTTAATTATAGTTATAATTTTTTTGTTTTTGTTTTTTTTTCTCTGGTTTAGTAAAAGTAAGTTACCATTTTATGCTATTGTTTCTGATTCAACATTGATGATGAAATTAATTGGATAATTGAATATTCAGAGTCCTAATCTGGGTAACCTTCTATTAATTACGATTTTCTACTGAATTAAAAACGCTTTCCCTCTCTGAATTTATGACCAAAACCCACAACAATCCAATCCAATCCAATCCAATCCAATCCCCCTGAGATAACTTTTCCCTTTTGACTTCTTACTGTGATATCTCTCCTTTTTTTATGATTTTTTGGCTTTTTTTTTTCCATTTTTTAGCACTAGATATATAGCAAGCAATGCCATGCTTCTCATGTTTGTCAATACATCTTAATTAATTAAAAAAGATTTCGTATTTAAATTCTTGCTTCCTCTGCTGTTGGCCTGTTGCCACTGTAAACAGAATATTAGTGACATGGATGGTTCTTTGCCCGCCGATGGGGCCTTCAATTACGAGAGCATCCTCAGCGCTCTCGATTTCCCAATGGAAGACATTGATGACAGTGTCGAAGATAACGATTGGGACACGAAGTTCCAAGACATAGAGCCGCCGCCTAACATTGATCAGTTGCTTGGTCCAGGAATTTTTAGTTATGATGACGAAAAGAAACATACCAACCTCTCCACTCCGGTGAGATTGTTATCTTATGTTAGGGACATAAGGGTTATTATTCTGTTTGTGTTTTTTCTGTGGAACTGTCTTTTGTGTTTACAGTATATATGCATTACTCTGTTAAGTTGTTTCGCTTCGCACTACTATGTTGAATACTTACTACTAATGTGGCCCGGAAATTGGTTTCAAGAATTTTTCATCCGTGCATAACTATTCGTTGTTGTATATCATGGGCAATTTATTCTCGTTGGACGAACAAAGTATGCATAACTAGTTATTGTCGAGTACTTTATGAATGCATTTAACCGTTTTGATGTACCAGGAACTTTATGGTTTGGCAAGGTGTAGTGACGATAGATAGCCTACTTTTATGTATAATTTGAAAGAGGATGGAGATAAGTATATTTCTCTGGGAATCAGAGCTTCCATGATATGTGCTTACCTGTTATCTTTGAATTTCTCTGCCGACTCTTGTATTTCCTTAAGTGAAACTATGGCCCTGCAAATTTGACATGTTGTTGAAGGTTGTAAATCATATGTTGTTCTTTTAGCGGTAAAAATCTTGTTAAACATGTATTTTCATTTAGGTTATGGACTCTTGGACTCGCTAAGTCATGATGGAAAAGACCAAAGATTCATTGGTAACGTGTTCTGAAAAGTAGCATAGGCATTGCAATTCTCTGAGTAGCGTTTTACTATGGAGAACGTTTTTGGTGCTGAAGGAAGATTTCCATCAAACCTAGCATCAATAGAGCATATTGTTTCTTGACTACATTATATATGAGTATTAGAGTTTAAATGGTAAACGAATCTGGACAATATATGAAGTTGGTATTGATTTCTCAGAGAACAAATAGAATTGAACATCCAGGCTTGTTCTTGTTGACATGATTTATATAAGATATACTTATATCACTTTAGAGAAAACTGCTTATATGCATCTGTATTTTGTCTCAAATTAATTTTAGGCTTCCCTTCAAAGCGTTCTTTTTGTCCATCCATCTGGGTGGTGTTCAATTTTAGATTATCCTTTGAATACTAGACGTCCAGATAATGGCGTTGTGGTCCTTCAAATAAATTACTGATAATGTTCATGCAGTTGATGGTGAAACAGGTATGGTAATTAAACGACTTCATGTTTAGGAATGATAGGCTTGTACTTTGTATTTTAAAGATGTGTGCATTTTTCTTGTGGTGATTCTTGTAAAGAAATTTGAGGTTTTATACTGTTTTAGCCAACAAATGCCAACGTAGGTCCTTCCCTCATCTCCCTTTTGTGTTTTATTTGCTTTCAGTATGGACATATGTATCAGCGACCGCAATTCCCAAGTGTTACTTGTGAACCATCCGCAGCAGAGTTAGCCTTCGCAAAGATGGCCTTGAAAGCATTGGCTCTTGTGCTGCTCAATTTGAGCCCAAATTTGAAAAGCGCACCCGAAGCAAGCTTTCACGAAGCAGGCGTGCAAACCCAATTATTTTCAGTACACAGTTCATCCTCAGTACCTCATCCAATTCCTCTGCCTCTGAAAATTTATATCGTTGGGATGCTTGTGAATTTGACTTAGAAGCCTCTCGCACAGAGGATACATCAAACACTGCCAAAAGAAAACAGAAGAAGAAAACGGGAAAGCTCTCCATGGACGAGGCAGGTGAGAGTCGGGAGACTAAAAGATGCACGCATTGTCAAGTGACGAAGACCCCTCAGTGGAGGGAAGGGCCACTAGGACCGAAGACCCTTTGCAATGCATGTGGGGTTCGGTACAGGTCTGGCCGCCTCCTCCCGGAGTACCGCCCTGCAGCAAGCCCTACATTCGTCGCTTCAGTGCATTCAAACTCGCACAAGAAGGTCATCGAGCTGAGAAGCAAGTCTTGCCAGGGGGCGAGTATGGGGATTTTATCGTCGGCCCAGTAGGAAATTCAGATAGCAGTACTAGTAGTAGCAGCAGTAGTAGTCATTTATTTCATTATATCTGGAAAATGAGAACAGTCTTCGTAGTTGAGATACCTTTCTTTGTGTCTCTGTTTTATTGCTTTCTGCTCTAATTTATTTGATGTGTTCTTTGTGTACATGATGGAATAAGATCGTCAGAAAGCAGTAGTTACCTCTATCAAGGAGAAAACTAGAAGAGCAAAACAAACAAACTAGCTCTTGATCTCCGAGTTCATTTGTTTCGGCTCTTGTTTTTAGCCCCATTCTTTGCTTTTAGCCCCATTCTTCAACCAAAATAAAAAGGCATATTCGACATTCATTTAAACAAAAATGTTTCCTCAAGTAACTCTATTCAAAATTAAACATGGAAGTCAGTGTTTTTTTTCAAATTTGATAGGAAAAAAAGATAATCAAAATTCAAATGTACTGCCTACAAATAAAGATTTGTAAATTGGTGTGGTGGATTAAATTAAATTTATCAATATTTAATTAATCAATGGAAGTAATCCAGTTAAATGAATTATAGTCTTTTAAACTGCAGCAAAGAGATTAAACTTAGTTTTAGCAGGATAACATTACTTTAAAAAAAAAATCTGATATATTCCCAGGAAAAAAAAAAGCAAGACATAAAAAGTTGCTTACAGATTAAATTTTCTCCTTTTTTTATTTTTAATTTTTTTCAGAGATTAAATTTTCTTCTTGTTTGGGGTTAAAATACTCCAGAAGATATTTGACCAAGCTTCACATGGGAGTTTCCTCCAAAAGGTCACCAAACAGGACAAGATCTGGATATATATATATAATTTTTAAGGGAAGAGATTTCCAATTTTTTTTATAAAAATAAGGATTAGTTATAAGGTCTACACCACATCGAACTTTAACGATCCAAATCGTCTATTTTCAAGTTGCATCTCATAGATCATCCTTACAAAATATTAGTCAAATCAGAAATGTTTAAGACATTTTATCTTGATAATTAAATAGACAAATAGTTTCTGATTGAATTGAATTTTGCAATGATGATTTATGAATCAACGGTTCAGATCATTAAAGTTCGATATGGAGTGAACCCCATACCTAATTCTCATTTTGTTGATGCACAAAGTCAGGGAGAACTTTGGTACAACAAAAAGTGTCAAGTTTATGACCTTCGCTAGATTGCTCCGGCTAATAGTGTGAATAAGCATGTAAATGGATAGAGACAGAGAAGCAAACACAAGATGTACGTGGTTCACCCAGATTGGCTACGTCCACGGAGTAGAGGAGTTCTCATTAATTGTGAAGGGTTTACACAAGTACATAAGTTCAAGCTCTCCTTTAGTGAGTTCTAGTGAATGATTTAGTACAAATGACATTAGGAAATATTGTGAGAGAATGATATCTATTTATAGAAGAAAGTTTCTAGTTTCATTCTGACATTGACACGTGTCGTGCTATGATTGGCCTCTGATGTTGACACGTGTCGTGTTATGATTGGCCTCAAATGTTGACATGTGTCACGTTGTGATTGGCCTCATAGTTGGAGGGAGACTCTTGTGGGTCCTTGGTGGTATAATGTTGACCGGTGCTTAGTAGTTTCAGGGTTGGTCAAGTATGGTACAAACAGTGCTCCCCTAAGTTCCCGAGTGAGGGAAGCTTCTTGGTTGGGGACTTGCAAGATCCAAGCCATTGAGTAATCACAAAACTTTTAAGTACCGAAGTGTGGTATTATTTTCACTTGCCTTATCTGTCTTATATGTAGATGCGGCATATTCTCTGGAAGTACTTTTCCTCCATTCAGGGGTGGTATCTTTAACCGATGAAGATGCACAAGGTAATGTATCAATATCACTTGAAGCTTACTTGTAGTTTCGGGCTTGGTCAAATGCAATACAAACCCTATAGTAGAAGTCTCCCAAGTCGCCGAGCTAGGAGATTTACTGAAAGAGGTAACAGACAAGGTAAGCAATCAGACTTCCAAGCAAGCAACCTGGATCGGAGGTTCGACTTCAGCTTCCGTTCGATTGTTCTCCTTCTCTTTGTGTCGTAAACAGCAACAAGGATAAGGAGAAGCAAATGGAGAAGAGATGATATGAGATACTTTTGTTTTTGAAGAAGTAACTTTCCACAGGCTTATTCTTGAACTGAGCTGGAGGATTTTCTGGTTTCCTCCAGAGTATAAGGCTCACTCAAGAATTTGAGGGTCAAAACAAGTCCATCAAATCTAGAGTACGTTCGACCTTAATGATATAGGATACTTTTGCTGTCGACAAAGTAGTGGGTGTGGTATGGCGAGGCTTTGCTCTTTAGCAATGGTGTCAGTGAAAGGTTGTTGAAGCTTCTCGAGTTCTTCGGATAGGGCAGCGATGCTGGGTTTGGATTTGATTTAGACTCCTCTATCTGGGTTGTGTGGTTCTGCAGGAAGGGCATCGTGCTGTAGTGATCTGTTCCAGCTCATCATTGATTCTTCTGCTTCAACTCTTATAGCATTTGTCCCCGATGCAGGAGTGGAATGCAACATTTGCATTTAAATGGTCATTCAGAGCACTACTTCTTAGCGACTCATCCATGCGTGACAACTTCAGTGTAAAGCGTCAATATCGTATCAATTGTTCTGAGGTATTTGCCGAAGGACTTCGTGACCTTGACAACAGTTGAAGATGAGTACTCGAGAGCAATGTTAAACAAACAACCATGCAAAGATTCCGGGCAATCAGTTCCGGATCGGAAGTTTGATTTCAGGTTCCGACTAATTGCGTTTATTCTTTTTATCCTGCAGGTAAGAGCAAGGGCAAAGGATAAGACAGAGAAAAAGCATGATATGGGATACTCTTGCTTTTAACCCTGATGATATGAGATACTCTTGCTCTGGTATGGCTTGTTTGCATAGGTATTATCGAGGGGGGGAAAAAGTTGAGTATTTTGAGAGACTCTATTGGGAGTGCCCTCTCGGATGTGATAAAAGTTGAGCATTTTTTTCTATTTGCAGGTATGCCTGGCTGTGGAGGATGAAGGTCAACATATATAGGAATTGTCTCAATGACGGGTAGTAACATTGTTCCTTTACCCTTCTCGGTCATAACAATGTAGTGGGAGCTACAGGATTCACGTGTTTTAACTTTGTCAGAGCATTTTGAAAAAGTGGTATGTGGTATTTGAAAAGCTGATGTTGCGTGTGAAGATTGCAGACAAATTTTATCCAAGGAAATCTGATTCTCGAAGTTCGGAGAGCAGTGCCTCTTCGATTTTTGAGAAAGCAATCCTGGTGGGAGTCTAGCTCTCGAGATTCGAATAGCGGTGACTCTTCGATTTTTTGAGAAAGCACTCCTGGTGAGAGTCTTTTCTCGGATATGAGTAAAGGTTGGGTATTTTTGCCAGTCTGCCTTGCCACGGAGCACGAAGGTTGACACATATAAGGACTTTCCAATTATCAAGCAGTGGTGCTGTTCCTTTACCCTTGTGGGTAATGGTAGAGTAGCTGGACCTTCAAAATTTATGTGCCTAAACTTTGTCAGAGATCTTTGGCAAAGTTATCTGTGGTACCCGATGAGCTGATGTTGCATGTGGGGATTGTCGACATACTTTACTCAAGAAAATTTGCTTCTCGAAATCCGGAGTGGTGCATCTTCGATTTTTAAACAAACGGCCATGCTGCCCTTTCTTTTATAGGGGCACCAATTGTGTGCAAGAAGTACGTTCAGAGAGTTATTGCTTGTAGGAATTTTCCCCTTATTTTTGTACTTCAGAGATTTATTAGACCTCATTTCTCCTTCATCATTTCTGAAAATGTCTCGCCCATCTGACCGTCGTTTTGACTTGAACTTTGGTGAAGAGGCGGCATGTCTCCTCAAGACAACATATGACGCACATCCTTCTTATCCCCTACTGGTCCTCTTACCGTTGGAGACTCTGTGATGAAGAATGATATGACCGCTGCGATGGTGGCTAGGAACCTTTTCACTCCCAAAGATAACAGACTACTGTCTAAACGATCTGATGAGTTAGCTGTTAATGATTCTCTGGCTCTTGGTGTTTAGTGTGCAGGTTATGTGTCTAATATGGCCCAACACTTATTTGCTCGAACCCGCCAAGTTGAATCATTGGCGGCTGAAGTGATAAGTCTCAAATAGGAGATCAGAGGACTCAAGCATAAGAATAAACAGTTGCACAAACTTGCACATAACTATGCTACAAACATGAAGAAGAAACTTGATCAGCTGCAGGAATCTGATTGTCAGATTTTACATGATCATCAGAGGTTTGTGGGTTTGTTCCAAAGGCATTTATTGCCTTCGTCTTTTGGGGCTATACCGCGTACTGAAGCTCCAAACAATCAACCTTCGGTGCCTTTTCCTTCTGAGGTTCTGCCCAGTACTAAGGCTCTGAATGATCACCCTCTGGTGCCTCATCTTCCTAGAGCTCTGCCAACTGTTGAGACTTCTCCTGAGCAACCTTTGTGAAGGCTCCATCTTGTTTGTTTATTTTGATTCATGTATATGTACATATTTGTAACTTATCGGAGATATCGATAAATAATCTTTGCTTCATTTTAACGTATTGTGTTAAATACACCAAGGCCTCCTTCACTAAGTTCTTTGAATTTATTTATTTTTTTGTTGAAGCTTGTATTTTGAAGCTTTGTGAGTGAAGCATGTAGGTTAAGGTAATGCTCCCTTAATTTCTCGAGTGAGGAAAACTTCTCGGTTGGAGACTTAAAAAATCCAAGTCACT